CCTCCCATTTCTTCAATTTGACGTTTTAAAAATAAATATTTTCCGTCTACCCTGGCGAAATCCACTACAATTGCGTTACTTCCTTACCACCCTTCGGTATCATTTGTATGCCCCTTCACAAAGGAGGGAAGCTATTAGACCAGTTGCCCGCATCAGAAAATGCATTGAAATGTCAATAAAAAATATGAACAGATTTCCAGAGAAGTTATTTGGCTACGTTCGAAATGTACCTAAAATTGTGTGTTTGTACCGAATGTACTTTCAAACTAAATAAAGGAAACACTTCATTTTACAGCGAAAAACGTCTTCGGCACGGCACTTCATTTTATTGGTTTTTACGCCGACTTCAAATTAAAAATCACTCAAAATTGCAAATTAAAACTACTTAAACTGATTTTTCACTTATAATTTAAATTTCTCTTTGCCGCTGATTTGTAAACAAAGGTTTGTTTACTAGTTACCACAACTGTCAAAATCGGCAAAATGAAAGTAGCGGTACCACTGACGGCGCCACTTTTGTTCGCTGCACCGTGATCCAGCAGCTGATTTCGAATCGCTAATTGCGCAGCTGACATGTGTGTGAACATCAAACTCAATACCCCAATTTAAAGCTTAATTGCCTCAGCTAATTGGGCTGTTTGAACACAGTCTAAGAATAAATAATATATTAAGGCAAGTAAAGTCGATTCTTTTCTTTTCTGAACTTGAAGTTACTTTTGTCATTTAACAATTAACCAGTGAACCCGCACGGCGTTAAGATGCCCAAGATAGAATTTCAAAAATCTACAAACTATTCCAAATGTTAGTAAGGTATAAGCGAATCGAGGTTCATATTTTTTCTCAATCCGTGCAGCTGTTTCGCATAGTCGGTTTTTAATATTATCAAATTTTAAATCATTCTGTACCGATAAGAAGTTTCTAATTTCAAAAAATAAAACCTTATCGCACATCTACAGAGCAAGCCTTTTATTTTTCAGTTTAATTTATTTTCGAGTAAACTTCTACAAAGTTCAATTTGAGTTCGAAGCGAATTTGGTTGAAATTCACTCGGAAGTGAATTGCACAAGCTAACTGAAAGCCTTTTCAAAGCCATTTCGATTGATATCTATTTTTTTAAAATGCATTTAGCTTATAATATAATTTGAATGCAGCTTATAGAATACGTGGCAACCCTCCAAAATATATTTCAGAAATAAAGCCTTTTCAAAATCATTTCGATGATATCCATCTTTTAATAATTCATCCAACTTCAAAAAATAATTTGAATGCCATTTTATAAACACGTGGCAACCTTCCCCAAATATTCTAAATGTTCAAACTTGAGTTCTTTTAACACGCTTTCGCTTCATATTTCAAACAACTTGCGTAAAAGTTAATTAAATTCGAATTTTCAAACAGGCGTGGACCCCTCTTCAAAAGTAGTTTTGCGCTAAGATATTCTTAAATATTCTTCTTCCATTGCGATAAATATTTCAATTAACTGATGAATTAAGTTAAATTTTATTTTTTTTTAACATGTGGCAACCCCGCTAAATATAGTTCATACTGATGCCAGTATTTTAATAACTCATTTAGCTTATTTAATAATTTTAAATAAATTTTTAAACATTTAACTTGTTTAGTAATTTGAAATAAATTTTTAACCAGGTGGCAACCCTCTTACAACGCCTAGAAAATATTCTTAATGTTTAAACCAAAGACTTCGTAAGGCTCTTTCGTTTGACATCCAATTTTGACATTTCATATAACTTTTGGATAAGTTAACTAAATTCGAAATTTAAAGCAGATGGCAACCAACTTCAAAATATTTTCAAACTGCTACCTTCTGAGCCGCCTTTCGTTTGGCACCCATATGTTGAAACATTTTTTTCCTAATTAATTTCCTTAATTGAAATTTAATTTGATTTTTTAAACCGGTGGCAACCCTCCTAAAGTTAGGTTAAGAAAGAAATATTTTCAAAACCATTTCCATTGATACCAATTTTGTAGTATTTGTTTTTTTTTTAGATAATTTGAATATAATTTTTAAAAGGTGGCAACTTTTTTCAAAAAAGTAAAACGTTACCTCATTTAGGAAAATCGAACAAACGGTGCGGTTATTATGGCATTGCTTATTAAATAATTAGAATTCAATGGAGTACAGGTGGCAACTCTTCTCGAAAAAATTAAACCAGTTTGCACATCTACAGGCAGATATTTTATGCTGCACAAAAAATGCCTTCGCGTATTATATATATGTACATATGTATATAGAAGATACTACCTCTAGCACTTAATACTGCAGTTAGATTCTATTGAACAAACTAATTACAATTTGAGTACTATTAAGAGTAATAGTTAATCTATGAACTCGCAAAAATTTAATCAATAAATCTCTAAGAGGTTCTCACGCATAGCTTTTTGAACACAAGTCTTAAATTAGACATCGTTCACACTATGTTTGTATGTGTGTATGTACATACATTTTCAAAGCCATGTAGAATGCGCTATAAGATGTAAAAAATTGATGCGCATAATATATTACGCACACCTCTAAACTATAGTGTTAATGATGATTGAAATCAGCAGAATTACGCATATTTTAGTAACAAAAAAAAAATATATAGAGAGCTGAGAATCGCACTTACTACGAATATGCTACATACATACAATATTACGTATATAAATTATGTTATGTATGTATGTTTGTATGTACATTATTATGCATACATACATATGTAGGTAAAATGCATGCTCGCACAGACAAGGACGCATCTCTGGCATCGTTAACGGTGTCTTTGCTTGCGTGGTAATGATGTACCAAAAAAGGTGTGAAGGACACGCAGGATAACAATCATAATGATAGCAATGGCCGTCAAATGCTATAACGGAATGCAACAAAAATATTTAACAACAAAAAAAGAGTAAGAAAAAAAAACAAAGGCTGAAAATAGCGCTGCGATGCAGTCTTTTAAAGTTGGGGATGCAGATGATGGAATACTTGAAATGAATCAGTGCTAGAGATGAATAAAATTTGTTTGAATAGAAAGACTGGTCGGATGATTGAGGGCGTGTTAAAAAAGCAACAAAATGTAAATATGTATCTATGTATGGTTGAAGCTATGCACAATATTCTGAGCAGATAAGCACAAACAGGCAAGCAAAGTAGGCAAGCACTAGCACAAGCACAAGCACAGGCGGGCAGGCAGGCAGCAATAAAGCACAGCACAGTATGACACAGCTCACATATGTATGTATATGTTTGTATGTATGCACATAAGAGATGGCGGTAAACAGCAAATGGCGTATGGTGAAAAAAGTGGTAAGAAAATGACAGTCGATTGTGAGTTAGCGAGTGGGCGTATGTACATATGTATGTAGGTATGTATCTAGGTAGGTAGGTGTCTATGTCAATGTATGCGTGGCATGGCAGGTGAACCTATCGTTATTAAAGAAGAAAACTAAAGTAAACAAAAAAAAAAAACAAACGGCAAAGTATGTCAGAAATTAATTAAGCAAAATTTAGTGCACAACGAATGGCGCTTCGAAAGGCTGAATATAAATATGTTTGATGGTATTTGTGTATGTAGATGAAATTAAAACTAAAAGCGAAAAAATTTGCGCTCATCAAAAAATTAAAAAAAAAAGATGAAATGCCCGGCATTAGAACTACTTAGCTACTAAAATGAGTGATGCTCATGTGACAACGATGATGTTTCGAAATTTTGCATTTTGTAGAAGCAAAGTTTGGACGTCAAAAGTATGCTAGACGCTAAGTTACATGCAACGTACCCAAACACAACAAAATACATATATATGTATGTAGTTTGTTTTTGGAGCCAACTTTTTGATTAAAACGCTTTAAGCTAATTAAAGGGCATGAAAAAATGACAACTCAACTTAGTTAAAAAAAATTCAAAAAAAAATAAAAATAAAAATAAAATATCTAAATTTGTTTTGTTCATGAAAGTGCATGGTATCCGTTTAATTCATTAAATTTGTTTTTATTAGCAATTTAGTAACTAATATTAACTAATATTTTCGAATTTCACAAAAAAAAAAGAAACTAAAAATATCACGTAAGTTTAGCTTGGAATTTTTGCTTTCTCTTTGGGATTTTCAGTATCTTTTTTTTTTTTTTGTAGGTTTTTGTTTCTAAGTCACACGCACTCACCTCGCGATGACCTATTTGGGAGCGGCTGGATGTGGATACTGTGTATATGCCTCATCGGGTGATGCAGCTGTGCTAGCCTGTTCGGAATCTGTCATTGGCATTGTTGGAATAATTGTTGGTTGTGCATAATATGGATAAGTTGGACTAATATACTGTAATGATGGAGAGAAATTCTATAAAAAAATCAAATAAAGAAAGAAAAACAAATTTCATATTTAACGGTTAATATTCACTTATTAAATGGCCAAAACGATGATGATGCGTAGATATTTTTGTTTGATTTTGAAATTTTTGTTGCACAAATGTACAAAAATGTGTATGGAAATGGGTAGAGGAGTGAGTGAAAATAGTGAGCAAATATTTGAAAATAAAATTGTTTTTGCAATTTTCAAAAAAAAAGTAGAACTAAAAAACTCTTTACACCATTTATGAATGTGAGTACAAAAGAAGTTTGATAAAAAACAACTTTTAATAAGTGGAAAATGTGCACGAAATCTTGCAAAAAAAATGGTGCTTTATTCGAAAGTGTGTATTGCTGGTCCACGAAATAGTAATAGTATTTGTATTTATATACATGGAATAGTAGGCAAACTTTATGACACAACAAAAACTGCATTGTATGTATTGAAAAAAAAAAACAACAACAACAAATATTTGCTTGTAAAAATTTTCAGCAAATGAAAGCAATTGCTGTACCCATAGGTTACCCTCAATATGAAATGTCATCCTAATTTAATAGTATAAATGATGAGTCGAAAATGAGTGCATTGCATTTCCTATTAAGTGTTAGTTTTTTAAGCTACTCACTCAAATTTGATTTTAACATTTTACATGTTTTTAAACTTACGGAATTGCCAATTTGCAATGTGGCTAGTTGTGGCACCATTGGTCCATATGGCACAGACGGATCACCACTGACCATCATCGAGATACCGCGTGGTTGCACCTGATTGACTGCGTCTGGTTTGTAGGAGGCGACTCCCAATTGTGGGGCAGCAGCCATTTGCATATACTGTAAATGAAAAGTTGAAGTAAGAAATTAGTTTCGACATATTTAAGAGGGAGGTAAATATTTTGGTTTAATTTCATATTTAAGAAAACTTATGTATGTGGTTTACAAAAAAAATGCTCTATGGATGGCACTATTCAATTTCTAAGTAGAACTGCTCGCTGATTGCGAAAATCGAGTTACTTTTTTCTCTATGGATAGGCTTTCGAGATATTTTCACTAAATCACGCATATCTTAGAAACCAATTGAACAATATACGAAATTTTGCAAATTTTTTAATGAAAAAAATAAAAATTTAACAGGAATCAAATTACAGTAACCAAGCCTGATCTGTTATAAAAAAAAAATAAAGCTAATTACTAATGAAGAAAATCGACTGATAGTAAAAGTGGAATTAGTGGTCAAATGAAAATGCGCAAAGATTTTTTGTATGAAAAATGAGCATGAATAATACTCTTTCCTGGTCATATTTCATACAAAAAATCCTTATTCATTTTTGTAAAGGAACAGGCTTTTATACAAGTGCAAAAATTCGTATTATTCCCCTTAAAAAAAAAAAACAAAAAAAAATTGAATAGATTTATTAATTTCTCAGAAACTATCAGGCCTACCGAACAGTGGTGTAAATATGGTTTATGGAGAATTTCGTTAGATTTAATTAGCCACATTTCGTATTAAGATTGTTTAATTGGTTCGTAAGATATATGTGATTAAGTGAAACCACATTTTTTAACTGAATAACGGTCAATTGCAAATGTCTGGAAAACGTATCCATAGAAAAAAATTTATTTTTGGAACAAAAAAAAAACACAAATTTGTGATTCAGTGTTATCGCTTTTTTGAGCCAAAAGAAAACTATTTCTTCTGCAAAATTTCGCACAAAAATTTTTTTTATTTTTTAATGAAAAATTAGGCGAATGCAACAGCGATTCAAACGGTGGTCGGCGAATTATTTGAGCTTTCGACATTCGTCAGTAATTTTCAGAGACAAAACCAGCAAACCGACAAAAATTTAACAGTGGGTCCCACAGAGTGGTATCCTGTCTCCACTGCTGTTTAATTATTACATCCCGAAGCTCCCTCAACCACCAGAGCGAGTCACAATTGTCTCTCAAGCTGATGACTGCTCGATAATGGCGTCCGGGAATGGAATTGATAACTTGTGGTCGAAAGTAAACGGTTTTACTTCTCCCAGCTTCTTCACTGCACGGAGCCCAACCTTCCACCTACGAAATCCTCGGCAACCCTTTTTACCACCTGGTCAGACTACAGCTGGGAGCTCACGTCGATGGTGAACCAATTCCGATGGTTAAAAACCCAAAAATTCTCGGATCCACCTTCGGCAGTCTGCTCTCCTTTTCGGCGCATATAATCGCGATTGTCAATAGAGTACAGAGCCGCAATAAGCTCCACAAGTCGCTAGCCGGCAGCACCTGGTGCCAAGGCAAGGAAACGATGTTTTGGCAACATACAAGGCAATTGGCCGACCAGTTATAAACTATGTAACGCCCGTGTAATCACCGGAGACTAACGGCATGAAGTTGATGCCTTCTGATGTCACCACTTTCACGACGAGGCTCAAATGCCCATAGTGAGGAAGCACAATACGATGCTCCGTAAGCTGTTCTTAGTAGGGTGTCACAGATGTGTGCATCCGAACAGACCATCGCCCACGCACGTCAGAAGGCACCTATACGACCTACGGACGAAGTCAAGAGGTTTCTAAAGCAACCTCTGGACCCGAGAGCATACCGACAGTCCATAAAAAGAATTCACAGGAAGTCGATCTCGACTTACACTGACTCTCGACATGTGAATACCGCTTTGGGAACATAACCACCTGACGTGGACGAGACAGAGCTTCGTCTGCCTTGGGTATTTCCCAGTTTGGTTGAAGAATGCATAATCTCAAAATTTATTCAAAAACGGCCTATCCCAGCTGCTGCTTCGAGAATGCCCCATCTCAATGTAAATTCAATATATCGGCAGATGAGATAGGGCATTCTTGAAACGTTTGCTGAGATGGGGCGTGTTCGAACGATGGGAGAATTCGAAAGAAATAATTCTAGCCAACGACAGTGGTTCAGTTTGCGACAGGTACCGAAGATGATGATAAGGTGAATTGTATGTGCTTTGCAGTACATGAACATAATCATACTATTTCGCGGGACTGGACATGTACGGATGATGACACAAATTTTTTTCTGGAACAGCCCTTTTGCATTTGCTGGTAAAACTCTTTTATTTTTGCCATTTTAAGTAGTATATCTTTAAATATACATAGTAGTTTATTTGTAAATAAATTTGTCCATTAATTTCTGAACTAANGCTTTGGGAACATAACCACCTGACGTGGACGAGACAGAGCTTCGTCTGCCTTGGGTATTTCCCAGTTTGGTTGAAGAATGCACAATCTCAAAATTTATTCAAAAACGGCCTATCCCAGCTGCTGCTTCGAGAATGCCCCATCTCAATGTAAATTCAATATATCGGCTGATGAGATAGGGCATTCTTGAAACGTTTACTGAGATGGGGCGTGTTAGAACGATGGGAGAATTCGAAAGAAATAATTCTAGCCAACGACAGTGATTCAGTTTGCGACAGGTACCGAAGATGATGATAAGGTGAATTGTATGTCCTTTGCCGTACATGAACATAGTCAGACTATTTCGCGGGACTGGACATGTACGGATGATGACACAAATTTTTTTTTAGAACAGCGCTTTTGCATTTGCTTCTGGCACTCTTTTATTTTTGGCATTTTAAGTAGTTTGTCCTTAAATATACATAGTAGTTTATTTGTAAATAAATTTGCCCATTCATTTCTGAACTAGCTCACCTGATCCTCAACTTGAGGTATTGGTTGCGTCATCATATAGCCTGGTATCCATTGTGAGCCAGCTGTCATTGGGTAACTACTAACTGGCGGTGCACCAAAACGTGAATACGGCACACCGATTGGTGTACCAACATTAACACTAACACCATTTTGTTGCATTGTCGGATCGTAGGTGACCGGTATGCCTTCGGCGGGATCACGCCACGTTCGCGCATTCGGATCGGGATTCTTGTAGAGATTCTTCTTTTTTGGACCACCATCGGCAAATTTAACCAAAAGTGGATCTTTGGCACCCTGTATTGTATTACCATTGAATATTTGTATAATTTGTTCGCATTTCTCGCGACTCTCCATGCGTGCGAAGCCAACGCCTAAACAATAAAGGAAGATCAAATATTTACAAAAAAAAATTCAAAAAATATTTTATTTTTTATTTTTAAAAATATAAAATTTTTATTTTTTTTTTATAAATAAATAGTATGTATGTAAGCATGTTTGGGGACATTTTGCGAAATTCACTCACCTTTTGAATTCATTTGCTGATCGCGCAATATGCGAGTAGACACAACTTGACCATATTTCGAGAGCATATTCTCCAAGTCCGTCTCCTTGAAATGTGGTGGCAAATTTGCGATGTACAAATTTGTGGGATCCTGTTCTTGTTGCTGTTGAGTGATTGTCCATTTTGGTGAAAAATCGTTTTGCGTGAGTAAGTGTGTGTGTGTGTTTTTTTTTTGTTGTGGTATGGATAGATATGTGGCCCGGCGTATGCGCGGATCGTTGTTGTTGAAATGTGTTCCATACATTATATAGAGTTTCATTTGGTTTGTGTTTTACATTTACAGTGCCGCATAAAAGTACAACATAAAAAGCAATTCGAGAGCAATTCGTAAATATTGTTACATTTTGTAGTCATAACAAAATTTATTTGAGCGTTTTTGTTGTTTCGGTTAGATGTGTGGTGTTGAGTGCAGGTTGATGGATGTTGTTTAATTTTTTTTTTAGGACACCGCAGATTGGCACATTTTTTCGCGTACGTTGTAAAACATGAGAATTAGATGGAGAAATATTTGAAAAATAAAATAATTATGAGTTAGTTAAATTTCAATATCAGACAGAGATCTTTGGAAAAGCGTGTTTATGTATGTATGTATGTATGTATGTATGTACGTGTAGAGTAGCAAATGTTTGCATGTTTGCATGAGTAAATATAGTATTTAATTTTACATTTGTATACATGTATGTTTGAGTGCAAGTACTTATGTATGTGTAGTATGTATGTATGTATGTATGTACTTATCTATAATATTTAAGTAAATAACTACATATATATGTAAGCACATACATACATACACACTGTTGTATGCCAATATGTCCTGTTCATTTTGTTATTGCACGAGAATGCGTGTTATTCTTGTGCGCAAATCGAATCACTTATTTTTCCTAAATTAATACTTATTTATAACTTTATTACACTATTTATATTACAATAATACATATTATACCAAAAGTATGCGCGTATGTGCGTTTAAATCATTATAAATCGATTAGCAGTCATTGAACTATTTGGCTTTAATTCAATTAATTTGATAGCAATTTGTCATTCGATGCCATTAAAGGCGACGACGCGCAGTAAATTGATTGTAATTTATCCATTTGCTACATTCATTAGTTCAGCCCCTATATCATTAAGGCACATGTAGTTGTGCATATTTGCTGCACCCTTCGCAGAATGCATAATCGTTACGGTGGCCATACATACTTACATATTTTAGAAATAAAAATATAGTACAAGCCTTTATTTGACTAACGATTCTATGTTTAATTCTAAGCAAATTTGCTGAAGCAACCATGAGTCCAAAATCAATTTGGCCTTTTCCAAATTGCGACAATAGTGTTCGAAAAAAATGTGGAAATTTTCACTGTTGCTCCCTCTCGTGGAAGTTTTGAGAAAAAGATATGTGCAGAAATGGATTCCTCACACCAAAAAATTCTTTGTAGCATTTTTTTCATAGACCCAGAATAATAATTATTTCATGGAGGAGGTCATCCAAATTTTCGTAAGAATTATAAAAGTCTTTTGATAATAATTATGTGTGAGAAAATTTGTTTAAGTCATCGATAACTATTATTCTAAAACTTATACAATATAAGTCTTTTCATAATAATTATCAGCGAGATAAATATTTTTAAGTCTTCAAAGACTTTGATTTTTAGACTTATATTTTAAAAGTCTTGTCATAATAATTTCACTGCGATAAATATTTTTAAGTTTTCAAAGACTTTTATATTGAGACTTATATTATAAAGGTCTTTTGACAATAATTATGGGTGGAAAAAATTTTGTATATAGTCCCAAACGGGTCCCAAACCAAGCCCCAACTGGTCCCAAACTATTAGCCAACTAGGCCCGAACTGGTTCCCAACTAAACCTAAAATGCTCCTGAAGAACTAAGAATTAAACAAAATTTTTCGCGCTCATAATTATTATGAAAAGACTTTCATAATATAAGTCTTAAAATAAAAGTCTTTGAAGATTTAAAAATATTAATCTCAAGAATAATTATTATGAAAGGACTTTTATAATATAAGTCCTTGAATAATAATTATAGATGACTCGAAAAATATTTATCTTAATATAATGATTAATGATTGACTTTTGTTCTTTTCTCTTATAATAGTTATGTCTCTGATTTTTTCATATAAAATTTAACCACTTATTTACGACTCTACGGCGAAATTCTAAGAAACCTACTTTCTCAATTTGGCAAACTCCAAATTGATTTTAGGCCCACGGTTACTTCGGAAAATTTGCTTAGAATTAAACATAGAATCGTTCTGTGCTATACGCGCATAGCCGAAAAAATCTGCCATACAAATTGACCCGGCATGTGAAAAAGAATGGGGCCAGCACGACATTTTGACTATTTTTCTTTTGATTGATTGATGTTTATTATTTTCTTAAAAAATTCAGCTCATTAACTAACAAAACCCATATAATCTTAAATTACAAATTTTATAGAAAAATTCGAAAAATTTTACAACAACCTTTTCATTGATAATTTTTAGAAAAATTCTAAGCTTGCCGTTTTTCGCCCATTAAATTCCACCTCAATAAAGCGCAAGTTTCAAGTAGCTAAAAATTCGCGTTGCTTTTGATAATTTTTTTTTTGCTGATGCTGTCCCTCATTTTCCTCCATGCAAAGTATGGTTGGCACTTTTTTTTGTATATGCAAGAAGAGAATAACACGATCGGCGAAAAAGTTATCAAAAATTAACGCGAATTCTTTGCCCCTTGAAACTTGCTAGAATTTAATGGGCTGCATACTTAAAATTTTTCAAGAAATTCTAAATATAAAGTTTGCTCTTGTTGTAAAATTTTGTAGAATTTTAATGAGTTGTATTTTTATAGAAAATAATAAACATTACAAAAAAAAAAAAATTTGCCAAAACTGGTTCAAATGTAAATTGTAGTCACGTAAGTATGTACAGGTATAGAGCATCAGCTCTCACAGCTGACATAAACACATTATTTTCTTTGGAGCTACAGTATGGTGACGAATCCTGGCCAAAACCACGTCCAAAAGCAAAATGGAAAACGTGCGAAGGTCTTTCCCTCCCAGCTCTGCAAAGCTCGTACAGCTCTTTCGATCCTTTTAGCGACAAATTACTGTCTAGCATAAACGATGTCTAGCTAAACATCTTATCTGTCTGCTTTGATAACAAGTTTTCGACAAAAATCCTCGTTAAGAGCGAATGGTAAAATGTAGGAAGCTAGACTCTAGACCCATTTCAAACTTCAGCGATAATTCTGAGCTAAATAATATAGTCGGAAGCAACATCTATTCGCACCGAAAGGGAAAATGGCTCTTACATCCCTCCCAAGGACTTCTGGGGCCAATCAGCCTCTCTTAGGTTTTACCTAAAACTCTGGAGAGGCTTGTTGATCTGCATATTAGGAACGGGATCCCTTCCGTGCGCCTGTCGGGAGCTCAACATGCATTAATCAAGGGTATTTCGATCGAGGCCGCCCTGCACATAATTGCTAGTTCGATTGAGGAAGACTTCATATATAAAGACCAAACTGTGGGCGCCTTTAACAAAGTACTATCGGGCGGTGCTGGGTGATTACTTATGCAAATGATGTAGCACTTTTAGTGAGGAGGCCTTTCTCCCAAAGTTATTTCTTGGCTCTATAAAACCTTAGTCAAGCCCAATATGTTTAAAGGCGTTCTCGTCGTCTGGTGGAATGCACTGGAGAAGGTTAAGTTACTCAGTAGGCTGGAGCTAGTGCTAAGAGCTACCCTCACTATAATCGGTGGGACGCTTAGGACCACTCCCACTATGGCTCATAACATCATGCTTACCACATCGCCTGTCGATATCTCAGGTAAAACGGGTGCAGCAAGGGCGGCGGGTAGACTTATAGCACTTGTTATATTATTATTAATACGGATAATTGCATGCCCAGCCTGGCCTGGTAGATGGAGGGCAGTGGTTGGAGGGGTCACTGGTGAACTTTTACCTGGATGGGTCGACGCTTGACGGAAGGGTCGGTGGTGGGGGTCTTTTCCAAGGAGCTCTCCATCAAACTTAAATTTAGCCTTACAGAACTCTGTAGTGTTTTTGAGGAGGAGGTTGCTGCCATTAAGGAAGCAGTCTACTGTCTACTGTTATGCGCGATGGTGGTAAGGGGGATTCACCTCTACTACAGTTACGATACACTCGAAGCTTGGTGAGGAATGCCTTAATTCACTTCCAATAGCGTCGGAATATTACTTTGCCAGACTTGCTTGGGTACCAAACCATAGTGTTATCGCAGGAAACTGTGGCCAAAGTAGAGGTCATTCTGGTCAAGGATGGACCGGGCAGTCCTTAGGCTTGCGAAGCCGGATATCTCGATTCTAGTGGGTATACTGACAGACCATTGGCAGACTTGGACAACGTGCTGGGCCGCTCGAGGATTACTGGATTCTCGGGTATAGGAGCTTTTGGCGGAAGAGCGCTCTATGGATCAACGGCTCAAGTTCTTATCCCGATAAGGGCCAGCAACAGGGTGCCTGGAACCTTAAGACGGTTACATCATTACCAGGATACGGAGGTAAGGGTGACATTCTGACACTTAGACCAAAATGATGACCCCAGAGACATCTAAAATGCCTACAAGAAATGTTAGCTCCGGATCTGAACACAGAAATGGAACTGGATAGGTCAAATCTTCAACAAAGAAGACGGCAGTTTTGCAAAGAAGGCCATGGAATGGAACCCTTTAATTGGCAGAGGCAGAACCCCTGGCAGACCGCGTGAAACGTCGCGAAGAGCAGTCGACCGACCGAGAGGTGAAGCAACTCGGGTTAAGCTGGAAGGAAAACAAAGCGATTGCCAGCGACAAGAGGGACGCCTCCTCTGCATTAAAAATATGACGTGGATAATAGTAACTTCCAACTGGCAGAAAAGAGAAGCGACTGCCGTGCTTTGTTGAACTCCACGAAAATCGTTAAACCGTTTACAGCGCCAATCAAGAGGCAGATTTTTTTTTTTTATTAATCATAAGCACACACACGCCTTTGGCATAGACCTACCCAAATTTTCTTAAGATAACTTTTATGTATGTATGTTAGTGAATATGTGAAATTGCTCATGGTTTGTCTTTATACCTCACAGG